TTGAAGTTTTTTATTTGCCTAGTGTAACCTCACTGTCTTTTCATATTGAAATTGTTTTCATAAATTTGTTCCTTGATCCTAGAAGAATTCATTCTGATAACATGTTTTTGGATTTTCAACCTACTATTCTATATTGTGATTTTCAGGTTTTCTACTTTCGCATAATTTCTTGTTTCGTGTTTCTTTTCTTTTATTATTGACATATCATTATGAAACTCTTATCCACTGTGGAGTGTGTGTTAATGTATATAATGATACTTTAATTGTAATCATAAAGTGATCACAAACTCGTAATAATAGAAATAGAAATTAACAGTTTCGTTAGATATTGATTGATCCCTGACGAAGAAATAATCAACAAAAATAGTCAACGGTGTGAATCTGCGGGAGATGTCGGCGGATCCCCTCTTAAAGTAGAAAAAACATTTTTTTTTTTTGTTATTGGTCTATATTTGTTTCTGAGAGTGGTCTAAGTCTAAATAGGAGGATGCATTGTCAAAATTTGCATTGTACTGCAAGGACATAATTCCTCGCTCTCTCCTCTGGCCCGGAAATTACGTATATTCCAAAAGGAAAAAAAAAAAAACTTAACGAGACACCATATGTACTCTCGAATTATAACTTATATACAGCTAATAAATTTAAGCACGTGTCAAGATAAAAACATATTGTTCCTATGAGTACAGTTTTTTTTTTCTGGCTTTGAAGGACCATTTGAACATAACTTTGTATATTTTCTTTCAGATTTATCACCGTTGTATATAAATGAATTTTTAAAATATTGTCTCCCCTCTCTCCCGCAAATTTAAATCCTGAATCCGCTGCTGTAAAACACTGATCATACTCAAAAGAAATTTGACTGAACTTGTGTTTTTCTTATTTGTTTTAGCTCTGTAATTGGGATTTTTTTTTTCTCGAAATGTTTATTTATATTGTTATAATTAATAAACAATACTTGCAGAGAATGAATAAGTTTGAAATGATCGTTGTACCAAACTCTTGAAACGGCAGACCCGAGAACGTTAAACGTACCTGCGTGATATACCAAATTAAATACAATTTGCATTGAAGAAAGATCCCATACAATTACGATGGCGGTGTGTTGGCGACTAACAGAACGTTCTTGCCGGAAGGAGTATAATGCCAGGTTTCCTGTACAGAACGGAAATCAGAGAAGACTGTCATCAAGATTGAATGTCTCCCTTCCTTTCAAAGACGAACGTATACCCCCTCTCCAGGACCATTTCTTTGTCCTCTAAGCTTTAGGGGACAGGTGAACAAAAACCTATGAGAACCGAACCCAGCCCGCTAATCACTGCTATGCAAATGTTGGAACAGAGCAGATTGTAAATATGAATATCAGTACAAAGTAAATCTACTACATCGAGGTATCGATTTATCATTACAGTATTAAGTTTTCCAAAATAGCAGTTTTTATAATGAATTACTGAAGAGAAGTAATTTTTCACTAATTGAGATTCGCTAAGACCATCTTCATAGGCGCAGATTTGTGGAAGGAGGAGGCGATGGGAATATTTCTTCATAAGACCCAGAAACGGGAAACAGCAAGAAATTGTACAAACAATAAGAGATACCATAACGTTTATGTTTGTGCTATTTTTCTAGATTATATCTTATGTAATTATAATAATATAATCTTCTATAATTATAAATTATATCTTATAGAAATCATATCTTTATATTATTTTGTTTGTGATCTACAAGTTTCTCTCCATATTTTTTATTTTATTTAGAATTATAACAATCTGTCACGTGAACAATAGTTTACAGTGATACATGAACACATTTAAACCACATATACAGAAAGTATAATATTAACAAAAGTAAAATAATAATCAAAAACTATGTACAATAAAAAAATAAAATAACCTAAAAATAAGTAAATTTAAAAACATAATAACACAATCATACATATATACAATATATACAATTAGGCAGGGAATCCAAAGCCAGGCTTCTCCCTCAACTATAGAAGGAAAAGCAGGACTCAAAGAGATCCCTGTGCTACTCTCTCAACCGCGTCACTGCTGCTAAAGCCAGTGGAGTTTGAGCGTGAGCGCTATATCAACATACACTCATGTCTTGCTCTCCAATGATAGCAGAGAGACACGTTTACAGTATTGATTTTGCGCACTGGATAAGCCAAGCAGCAGTCGACTGTGGCCAAACTTTCAGTCCATACCACAACTCAAAGAAAGAAAATATACAGCGTGTTTCAGGGTTAAGTGGCCAAATTGAAAATATGAATGAAGGTATGTCCGCAAACGCTTTGTTTAGGAGATATTCTCGCCTAAAGGTTTCCATTGTTATAAATTATTTACGTTATATTAAATAAATAAAACTCATTTATTTGTTACGACCACTGTTGTTTCTCTCCACGAACCGACCAGCAAGGACCACGCGAATATCATTTCCGTTTCCTCTTCACACCCTCAGCCTTCCTCTTACTCCAATACTCTCTCATCCTCCTGGACTGTTTTCTCGCTCTTCCTTAGTCCATTCTCCCTCGTCTCTTCCTCCCACCTACAAGAACCCCAACCCATTTCAGTGTTTTCCTAAAAAGCTCTCTATCCAAGCAATCTTTATCCGTGATGTTTAGCCTGTCTAGTTCCTCTTTTATTTGTTTTACATATCCCCCATACTTTTATAGCTGCAAACTTTGTCAAAAATTTTCTTGTTCAGTCTTTCACTATTCATCCTGACCATGTGCCCGTAGAACCTCAGTCTTCTGGTCCTGACGACTGTTTCCAAATCTTCCGAATTTTTGTATATTTCTTTATTGGATTTTAGCCTGTATCCCTCTTGCGTTACCTTGGGTCCGTGAATCCTCCTCAGAATCTTCCGGATTTTCTCTAGGCTCGGAAGGCTGACTGCTTCCATACCATATAATATTACAGGCCTTGCTACTGTACAGTATTTTTACTGTACTGTACTGTACCTTATTTTTGCATTTGAAGACAAGTTTTTTTTGTTGTAAACATTAGTTAAAGATTCGGGCTGGACTTTTGACTTTTTAAAAAGAAGGTTTATTGAAAAAATAAAAATTACAGAAACTTATACTGACTAAAACTATATACTTATAAATAATGGCAAGGGAGATGACGTGTGTGACGGTCCTAAGTGCAGAGAGAGCAGAGAGAGTGATCAGCTCAGCTACTGGGTTTATATACTGTTTATAAAGTGCTGATGCTAGAATAAGCAGAATCGTATGAGGTGATGTCTAGGTGGCGTGATTTAGGGCTGTAACTATTCCTGGTGGCGAAGTTCAGTCTTTCCAGTTTGGTTATTCTTCCTTCGATTGATGCCTTATCCGTTCCGTTATTTAAACTTTTTGGTCACTTTTATTTTCCCATATATTGTGTCCAATATTTTCTTGGTTATTAATTTTTTTTTAATTATTTTTAAACACTTTATTCAGAAATATTACAATTTGTCACAGTGGTTATTAATTAAACATGAACATTAAATTGATATTAAATGTTATTCAAAGTGATTTCCTTGAGCATTAAGACAGGCTCGGCATCTTTCTTCAACAGCAGCAGTGGCAGAACGGCACTGGATATGTGTTACTGTTTCAGAAGATTCAATTATCCTACTTCGTAAGGAATTACGGTCATTGACCGGACTGATAAATGTTATTGAGAGTTCCCAATGCTAATTCCAAATAGTATTAATCCAATAGTATGATGCCAATAATTTTAATACTGTTAGGGATAAAAGGCCATATTAGTATTCTATCTAATCCATCTCCCAAACAAAGCGTTTGCGGACATACCTTCAGTGGAATTTTTTTTTTTTTTTTTGAGATCCTTAGTCCATTTTTGCAGTTTGGCCACTTAACCCTGAAACACATGTATATAAAAATGATGTTTTTTTAAGTGATCCTTGAAAGCCTCTTCAAAATTTTAAAAAAAGGAAGTTATACGTCACGTAGTAGTCGCCTCTGGTCACACTCCAAGTCCCTACCAAACCTTTCAGACCAACTGCTATTACAAGTTTTTAGCTAAATATAATTTTTTTTTTATTCGTTACAAAGTGTTATCTCAATCTTATAAGCATCCTTGATTGCTTGAACTAGTTGTTCCGCCCGTGCGAATAATTCGCAGAAAATTTTGTTTACTGAAAAAATATTAAAACAATATGGAAATAAGTAGATCCTATGTATTATGTAAGGAAGGAATTAATATTTTTTCCTTGGTCGATTACAATATTCCATTAAACATAATAGACAAAAATATTTGTACAAATTGCTTCGCTAGGACCTATTTTTAAACGCTGACTGGAAAGATAATGAAAGTAATAAAGACTTTTAATTTAGTAATCTTTCTAATTATCATGGGTACGACAAAGAAAAAATGCATACTTTTTGAGTTATTCGCGAATAAAGTTTCTTTATTTTCTTACATCTTTTTTCCAGAAATTTCGGGAGGATAGGACTATTTTTCGCATGTGAAGGAGAAGAATATCTTCAAAATGAGTGGTCAATCATTGAATTTAATGAAGAATTGACGAAGTTATGGCGCACCGACAAAAAAAAAACAACACCTTTTAGAAATAATATATAAGATTCTATCGCACCTCAAATTTATCTTCTTTTTTTTTTTTCATTCATGTACTTCTTTCATTACATTCTTCTTTTAATTCCTCATAGACAACGTTATCAGCTACTTCAACACTGGAATTACATCTTAAGATTTATAACAAAAGGTTCATTTACATGATAACGAGTATAATATGACATATTCGTACTTCAGGGCTGAGGGGCTGGGCTAAGCTATTGAATTCTTCTTGTAACCAACCTTTATGGAACGAAATTCTTCGTAAAATCCTCAATACTCTTCCTTACAATTTGGGTAAATAGTACCACACATTTTTAATTAAGTTAAAGAAGCCCAGTTTCAACTTTTACTGGGTCCTTGGAAACGCGTAACTTATATTCATCAGCTCTCACGGTTCATTATTCCCTTTGTCCATAACCATTACCATCAAAAAGATTTTAAAGCTCAATTTAAACATAATTTATAGGTATCAGGAATCCATTACCCTATCAAACTGTCTCTTTATTTTCAGGAACAATAGCCTCTAAATACACGCTCGTTAAATACATTCGTTTAATGACATAACCTCTACTCTCACTTTCAGTATACCTTTCGGCCACTCAACTAACAAAATTTATTCACTTCAATAATCAACCTGAAAACATTAAAGAAAAAATCAATACAGAATATTTAAAATGAGAGTCGTTAAAGTGTGTAAGCAAATAAAGCTCTACGTACCGTATATATATACAAAATTATAAAGTTGTCGATTTTTAAGAAAAGTGAATTAATGAATACCATATCGATTCTCAATTTATCGATTAACCCTCCATGGAGGTCTAAGAAATTACCACGATAAGATTCTACCCCAAGATAAAGTTTAAAGGTAAGATTTTTATTTTCAACAACATATTAATGAAGAATTTATAATAAATTAAATCTTAACTTTTTTAAAGGAAGGAGATGGTCCTGGATGGCGGTCATAAATAGGCTAAATAGTGACAAAACTATTTTATTAAAAGCCGACGTTTCGTCCCAACTTTGCAGGTCTTCTTCAGGGAGGTGTGTTCAGCTAGGAGTTTCACTTAGAACTGAAATATTGAAATCTTCAGGTTCTAAGTGAAACTCCTAGCTGAACACACCTTCCAGAAGAAGACCAGCAAAGTCGGGCCGAAACGTTGGCTTTTAATAAAATAGTTTTGCCACTATTCAGCCTATTTATGACCGCCATCCAGGACCATCTACTTCCTTTATTAACTTTTTTTACTTTCTCGACTGCCTTAAGGGAGAGGAAATATGGTAAGTAACCGGAATCACAATTAATTTACTTTATTACTTCATGAATCTTTGTAACACTGTCATATCCACGAGGGAGGCATTTAGGCTGAAGCTCCCCCCTCCAAAAAAAACAGATTTTTTTAAAAATTAGTATAGTTGTTTCTGTGAGTGATTTGAGATGAATACTAAAAACAATCACAATGCATATTATTTTTAAATTATATATTAAATTATCGTATAGTATCAGGATGGTGCTTGATATTCATTGCGGCTTCCAAGATTCGATTTCTTAGCTCTTCTTGTGTGCCAAATGCCGCAGAATAAACCATAGACTTCATCCCTCACAAAATAATCTAATGGCGTTAGATACGGAGATCGTGGTGGCCGTTTAACAGATCCGTTTCGACCAATCCGTCGGTCTCCATAAGTTGCATTTAAATAATCAGTGATACTATTACAAAAGTAAGCTGGAGCACCGTCATGCGTAAACCACAGCCTTTGCCTAATGTCTAACGGAACATCTTCTAGGAGTTCATGAAGATTATTTTGCAAAAAATGTAAGTAAGACATACCTGACAGACTAGGTGGCAAAAAGAAGGGGCCAATGATGATGTCGCTTAGAAGACTACACCAGACATTTAAAGAAAAGGTATGTTGGTAATGTCCAACAGCAGTCGTATGAGGGTTTTCTTCAGCCGCCCAAGTATGGGTATTTTAAAAATTAAGAATCCCGTTTCTTGTAAATCATGATTCATCAGTAGCCAAAATGCAGTTCAGAAATTTAGGATGTAGTGTGCATTGTCGAATTAACCACTGAGAGAGATTTCTGAACTTGTTATAATCAAGTTACAAATCTTGCCTACTCGATACGTGAAATGGATACTATTGTTGTTCGCGTAAAGTTCGCCATACGCTGGTAGAGGAAACATAGAAACGACGTGACAATCTTCTGGTACTAGTAGTAGGAGATAACTGAACAGCATCGAGTATTTCTTCTTCAACGTCGACCGGCGTTTACTCGTATAAGTTTTATCGTGCCATTATCCCTTAGGCGTCTTTCAATGGCCTCAAACGTTTTACGATTTGGTATTCTTCGGTTAGGAAATTTTTCACGATATCTTCGAACAGCAGCAGCACCGTTTCTATGTACCTCGCCATAAGTTAAAAGCATGTCTGTTTGTTCTGAAAAAGTGAATACATTTATGGTGTTTCCCATTATAATCGTAAATTGAACTGTTTCACAGTGTATTCACTCACGCTGAAACCCACAGAACTAGACAAACAGATGAGCAACTACTGTCACTGCTTATCATTAATTTGTTTATCAGATGATTAAAACATGTTATTTAGTATCAAACACTTAAACTTTGTACAGTCAGTCTTAATGTAATAAATAAATAATAAATCTTTAACCATTGATATCTGTTTAATAAATAAGTTTGAGATATATGTTAATATGAACTTTTTTGTTTATTTTGTGCTAGTGAACACATACCTAAAATAGTGCCCTGCAATTACGAAATAACCCATCTACGATTTTTCTAATTTTACCTAAGCTTCCTGAGCAAGGTGAGCAATAAAATATTTTTGGAGGGGGAGGGAGATTAGATTCTACCTGGGGAGGGCATCCCTGATGAACATATATATAATTTGAAACATTTGGACTGAAAAATTGCTTATAGCATAGATTATATAGACATGATCTATATCTCCCTTCAAGAATCTATAAAACTTTAATTAAATGAAAATAGCTCAATACACCAAAAACAGTTCAACAAACGTTTTTCATTTTATAATTAAAGAACCCTCCGAGGCGTCTGAAAAGAAGATGGCCTCGGGATCTTCTAATATAGAACTTTAATTTGAGTTCTACCAATGGGTAGTTTCTCTTCATTTTGTACATGCCTGTTACAAATTTCTCATTTACTTATTGTATTCTCTATGTAATACAGTTGTAAATTCCATTAAAATAAAAAAAAAAAAAAATAATAATAAAAGTATTTGTCAATTTTATAACATTTTTATTGCGTTATTTACATTGTATAGTGTATATATTTAAAACTACTTCCTCTCTTAAGGTCTCATGTACATAACAACAGTTGTAACGAGTCGAATAAATTAATTTATAAATGTAATGAATAAATTTATTTTACTTATGTCTACCATTCTTGTGCAGCGTTAAAATTCTTACATCAGCATTAGCTTTATCCACCATTGATACAATATATATGAAAATAATTATTAAATCGTAAAATAAAAAGAAAACTATTAACTACTAAGTGAAACGAAAGAAAATATCTAATGCTATCTGTCTTCAGAACGCTGAACTACATTTTACATTACGTTACATGAGGATCCGCTAGGGTTCGTTGTTGTCTCAAAATGGAATTCAGAATATTTATATACTTTAGTATTTATAAAAATATTGATCTTGTTAATTTATAATTGTTTCATAGTGAAAAATATTAATTTACCATGGACCACAATTATATGTCCAATATAATAGATATTTTTATAATACATCTTACAAGAGATATTAAAGAAATAGCGGTTAAAACAACTAAGATTGACACACATATGGTTAATACTAGCATATAAATTGTCTATTGTAAAACTTTAACATAGTATGTATGTTCTATTCACTAGCGGATCAAGGATTTAATTTTGAGGGGGCTTCAGCCTGAAATTTTTTTTTTCATATACATATAACGGTAATTAATTTGAAAAAAAAAGAAAGAAATTAACTACCTAAATGGTGTGTTTAAGTGGTTCTTGAAGTTCTATTAAATGTAATTACACGTACAATAATACTTTAAGAGATAGTTTTTAATATTTTTTCTATAAAATATGGTTATATTTTACCATTTTGGTTGGAAAGGAGGGCTTCAGCCAGAAAGCTATCGTATCGAAGTATCGTATATTGTTACAGGTGCCAATGAAACTTTATGTAGATAAATTTAGATTTTAAATGCATAATGGTTTATTTCAAATTACACCTTACACAACGATATGAAAATATCAACAGTAAAATCGAGGTTATATATTATATATCAATAGATTTATTTTTTTGTGCAAAATAATTAAAAAATATTGGCTATGATATTAAGTGAGTTATAATTTGTCATAAATTAGAAAAACTAACAGGCGCTTCCAAGAATATAGACTTTTTGGAGTCCTTCAAGACTCTTAAGTACGAATTTTTATAGAAATTAAAAATTACAATTTTGAGTACTTCATTTTTTTGGAGAATTTTTTCCGGTCATCAATTAAATCAACCATAACTTCTCAGAATTTTCTCTAAATTCAAAATTTAAAACAAATTTTCGGAAATATATAAACAGCAGTATATATGTAAAGCATACGGTTGCAAAGCAGGATTTAAAAAAAAAAAAATTTTACAATACTGCCATTGAAATAAAAAAACGCTGCAAATTATTTCACAATGGTTTATTATTTCCCAACAATTATACATATAAAGTAACATTAACCTCCTAGTGACAAATTAAAAGAAATAAACAGTTAATACCAATTATTTTCCTAAACATTTTTTTATCATTAGTAATTTGCTAAAAAAATAGCATAACTTCAGTAACACATTCAAAATTCAAAAAACAAAAGAAAGGATATAACATTTGAAGTATAATGTATACAAAATATCTAGAGATCATATCTTGGCTCCTAATTGTCCGATTTTTTATCGTAATAATTATATATTATTTATTGAATAATAATACAATAAGCCACTTTTGGAGGGCTATACAGTTTATATTATTAGAATTTCTTCGTGTGATAGTGTCTTCTAAATCGTATTGTGGTGTTTCCTAAACGGAGAACATTAAAATTAGGCGATGATCCAGAAGTAGTGGAACCATTTTATATATGTTTTTTTCCAGCAGACATCAAGAGGCTGTCTGATTCTGAAAATACATTAGCTGAAAAGTCAATATATTTCCTTAAAATATTGCATATATAGCATATACATGGTAAAAATAAATATAATTTATTTATTTTTACTTTATTGTTTGTTTCACTTATTTTTTTGTCCATCCCTCTTCGCCCCAATCAAACTGAAGGTATTCGCCTATGTTTTCAAGTACTGTTTCCTATTTCTATTTATACTGATTATATACCGACAGATCCACTAATTGCAGAATTAATTATCGACTTAGCTTAACAACAATAAATATGCTAGTCATGAAACATCCTTATGGAAAATTAGCAGAAGCATATTCTTCCTGGAAAATTACAATCATCACTTCCAGTGAAGCTAAAATGTAGTGAATATATTGTGAAACTCTTCTTTATTTAATTAGCTACTAAAAACTCATAGATCAAAAAATCATTAAATAGGTGGCCTAGAAAAATAGTGGGCCGTTCGGCGTGACCTCCACTACCAACATATCAAAATAACGAGATTATACAGATCAAAGTGGCTAATATTTTTGTATGGCACCTTTTTTCTTCATTTTGTGGTCAACTTTTCTTACGATTCAAGTGGAAAGCCAATGGATATTCATGAATTTTTAGTACTTCATTAATTTAATAAGTAAACATCCCATTTCTCGAATTTTTAGGCGAATGTTAATTTGGTAAATTGGAGTCTACACC